TGATTAGTCCTTGAAACATATTTTTAAAAAATCCACGCCTTTGATTAGTCCTGATGAAATATTTAAAAATACACGCCTCTGGTTAGTCCTTCAATAATGTTTTAAAAATATCCGCGCTTGTTCAGGGTCCATGTAAAATCCATGCATCCAATAATCCTTATCCTGTTATACCAAACATGAAGTTCGTATTATTAATGCGCAAACATATCGAAATCGACTTAAATCTTCGAGATATACAGAGGGTTGGTGCAAGATTTTTTTTATCGCGTTGTTCAAAATTAACTTATTATACAAACACAACATTGATATGAAATACAACTGCCAAATTCAAACCAGTTAATAATGTGATGATAATATTTCATTGCTAATGTCAAAGTGCTGCAGGGCTAATACGTACGAAAATCAATTGATCGATCAAGTTACAATTAGAATGACAAACTTAATATACTCACTTGTAATATCAACTGTCATAGAAGAAAATCATTATTAATTGATGAATCATAAATACAAGTCCAAATTATAATGGGTGATTTATTTAAAGTTAAACCGGACCTGGAAAGTCAATAATTTATTCCTCAATTCACATGTTTTCTTCGCAGTAGAATCAATTTTTATTGAAGCATTTATAGCTTATACAGTGCTGATTAATTTCTAGAAAATTTAGTTTTCAGTAGTTCAAACGGGAACTGAACTCATAAAGTATTCCAATTAAGTATCCAATTTATTATTTTATTTTGAAAAGAAAATTGTCAATATGCTTAAAAATTTAAACTTAAAATACCTGTTGGCATGCGGAAAATAAACAATGTCAAAAAACTTCCAAATGCATTTTATAAATGAGAGTTAAATCGTATTATATTCACCTCATTAATTAAATTAAGTTTGAAAATATTGTAGGTTTTTATTCGGAATATTTAAGACATTTATTTAAAAACTTGAGTGACAGTTTTAGCAACTCCTAAAACATTTTTTATAAGAAATCAATACCTTAATGTTTGAAAGACTACTGCCAAGAAAAGGAGGCAAAGTAAATTTTGACTAAAATATAAAATATATGAAGTATTGAAATTACTGCAGGTTGACGTCCGCGAAATTTTGTTGATGTTGTCCGATTTTATGTAAATGGCGCACCGAGGAGTCTATGTATGTTCTATGTTCACGAAATTTTGCAGCGGGTATGGAATTTAGTTAGAAATTAGTTGTGATTTAAATGTAGCTAACATATCTACTTTAGTACCATTTTATGTAAATGATGCACTATAGATCCTGTTCTATTTGCACTATATTATGTTGTTGAAATTGGTTCAGATGGTTCCCTCATATAATTTTGCCCGACTTTATGCAAATGGTGGAGCCTATGTCTGTTCGCTTTACATGAAATATTGCATAGGATATTGGATTGAAGACGTTTCAGGTTTAGATATAGCTTCCAGCTATATTTTCATCCCATTTCATCAAAATGTTGTACCAAATAACTAAAGATTATCCGCTTAGGACGAATTAGTGCACAACGTACCAAATGAAACTTAGAATAACGTGTATTGGATTTTGTGTCGAGACAAATTTTGGATAGCGCACTGTGTTGCAGCATACCAAATGGTTGATTCTCGGTTGCTGAAATACGTCCATTTGTATATATTTCTTATACATATAATTTCTTCTGATTCCATTTCAATGGTCCTCCAAAGACCTATCTATTCTATCTAAAGGATATTGTACATATGAGCATCCCTTTTATGTACCCAATGTGGTGAAGGGTATCATATAGTCGGTCCATCCGTCTTTTCAACTTTCTTTACTAGTTTTAAATGAGTTCAAATAGTAGGAATGATTAAACTTTTGTCTATGAATTACTGAAATACGGGGCTTTCCATTTAATTGTTTAAATAGGTGCCACAAAATCCTCTTCAACAGCATCTCAAAACGTCATGCAATGTCGAATATATCCCGAGTGAGATCGTTAAATGAACCATTTCAGACTATCAACTGAAAATAGAAACTGGTATAACAAGTTAGTGTGGCAGTCCTTGAAATCCAGGCCCATATTTTTTAAACCCCGAAATCGAGAATACTTTACATTGCTATTACTCCACACCATTCTATGTATTTTTAAGTTATTTGTCGCATTATCCCGGTTCTGTGGAGGGTGAGAAACATAATAGCAGAAATTTTGCTGATAAAGATCCATGGTTTTAATTAGATCTCATAAGATGCTCCTGTCCCCTTAAAAATATTTTCAAGGTTTAAGTTCCACACCATAGTCCTGTCCCAATTTTGATTTTGGGGGTTTTAGCTTGGTTTAGTTCTAACTAGTTGACTGATATCGAGAAGTTTTTGAACACACTCTCGGCGTCTTTGTCAGGACGGTGATATTTCAATAAATTCCAAATAATTTCCTATCAAATGCTAATCAACGGAAACTTCAATTGGAATTTTATGTTTATTGTGTTTTATAATGAAAACAAGTCAAAACGATGTTTATTGCGGCCGAACTTTTATACTCTCCTCCATGAGGATGACGTTCAAAATATGTAAAATTAATGGGAAATCCTAGGAGAAAACTCATGTTATGATAGGACATTGAATATACTGTAAAAGATGATTTCCAAAAAAGTCCTAGCCTGAAACTTCGGTCAATATTAATTATTTTTTTGTATGGACATGTGCTATTCAATGAGAACCAAAATACTAAATGACAGCCAATTCGGTTGAAAAACGAGTCCAAAATCCCCAAAATACCGAATATTCGTGGGCACCGTTACATGGGGTAACACGAAAACGTGGACCGATATAACCCATTTATAATACCAAACATCCTAGAAGTACTAACTGTGAATATTTCGGGGTTTTGCAAACGGAATGACGAATTTAATATACATTTCACCTTTTGTTGGAGGGTATAAAAATCTCCAGACAATTGGACAGATTTTATTGTATGGCTATATCTGAACCGATAATTTGTGCATATGGTCATAATAATGGATTAACGGACGGTTGTGTGTAAGTCTACTGAAAACGTAATTCGCTATGGGTAAATTTCGTTTCTTTCTGCATATTACTAATAAATGTATCAATACAATGACTCCTACCGAAGTCATACTGTGTTCAAAGAGGGTATATGGTGTCACGACGTACGCTACAACCGGATTTGAAGTATATTATAACTTCTACACATATATTCTGACCGCAGCGGAGTATCAATGGTTAGAAAAACCTAAGGTCCGTTTTTATACCCTTCACCACACTGTGGTACAGGGTGTTATGTCTTTGTGCATATGTTTGTAACAGGCAAAAGGAAACGAGATAGACACATGGTTCCTTTTGAGAATATGCATAGAATCACTTTTTGAGTCGATTTACGCATGTCCGTCCGTCTGTCTGTCCGTCTGTTGGTGTTAAATTGTAAACAAAGTACAGGTCGCATTTATAATCCTATTTGGATGAAATTTGGCACAGCTCATTTGGTTGGCCCAGGGACGAACCCTATTGAAATTGGGAAAAATCGGTTCAGAATTAGCTATAGCTGCCATATATATTTTAACCCGATTTCATGTAAATGGTGCACTATATATCCTTCGATTTGCACGTAATTTGCCATAACGTACTGGCTTGAGCCTAGAGTGATGTCTGCCAAGTTTCGAGAAAATCGGTCCAGTTGTAGATATAGCTCCCATATATAGTTTCCTCCGAATTCATGTAAATGGTGCACCAAAGTCCCTATATATCTTTCGATTTGCACGAAACTTGGCATAACGTACTGGATTGAGCCTAGAATGATGTCTGTCAATTTTCGTGAAAATCGGTCCAGATTTAGATATAGCTCCCATATATACTTTCGTCCTATGTTATGTAAATGGTGCACCAAAGTCCCTATATATCCTTCGATTTGCACGAAATTTGGAATAACGTACTGAATTGAGCCTAGACTGATGTCTGCCAAGTTTCGAGAAAATCAGTCCAGATTTAGATATAGCTCCCATATATAGTTTTGTCCGTTTTCATGTAAATGATGCACCAAAGTCCCTATATATCTTTCGATTTGCACGAAATTTGGCATAAAGTACTGAATTGAGCCTAGAGTGATGTCTGCCAAGTTTCGAAAAAATATTTACATCCGACGACGATAGTGAAGTCTATCGTAGTTTTAAGTAAACTTGACACCAGTTTATTTATTATCCTGAGGATGCAATTTAAATCAATTGCGAAATATCGAACGTGAACAAATATATTGTTTTATTATTAAATATCACATATTTTATTTCATCCAATTTCATGCTAATAGTCCTGTTTAATATATCCATAGTGGTGAAGGGTTCCTTACTGGTTAGATATTATTTTATAACAAAGTTTATCCGATTGTATTGTTGTGTAGGTCCATTACACACACACATTATGTAATTAATAAACAGCAACGAAATGAAAATTAATAGCCATGTGAATAAAGGCAATTATTATTTCCTACATTTTACAAATAAATATTAATAAAACAACATGAGGTTATTATTTAAATACATATTTTTATGCAAATATTTTATTTATCGCTAAATCCACACATTAAAACGAATCCATTTGGCAAATAATCAAATGAAATCGCTTACAAAATACAATAATACAAATAATATTAACAAATAACAGCAAATGATCGTCAATCATGAAGGGATAATTATATTAAACAAAAACAAAAAAGAAAAAAAAAACTAAAAAAATTAAAAAATAATAATTAAAACAAATAAACAGCATTAACTAAATGTGAAATATAATTATGAATCCACAACATGCATTCAGTAGTTATTATATACGATAAGCCAACATAAAACGGGATTTTCGAAATGACAATCAGTTTCACTTTTGTCAACAATGGGCGACAGTGAAATCGATTCATCTGCGGGTTTACAACGTTTTTGTTACCGTGATGGTGTGACAAATGTTGGCTAATTAATTTAATTAATGGTAAAACAAAAGAGTTGTTTGTAGAGGAATGGAGAGGGAGGCGTAGGAGGAAGAAGACATCATTGCTATGTGATATAACAATGGGATGGCAATCAGTCATAAAGGTTTCAATATTCAATTAACACCTTTTTACAGTTTGACAATGGGTGGCAAATATTTGCTGATATTCGACGATGATGAGGATGATGATGACGACGATGAGCTACCCGAGGACAGGGTTGATGAAATGCTGCCACTGCTGACTGATTGCTGTGTTGAACCGCTGGCATTTTGGCCATCCAAAGATCCAATAACTGAGGTAACGGGGGCAATTCCTTCATCGGAAATTTGTGTAGTACCACCAAGTTGATCGTATTGGGCTAAGATCATAAAATATTATAAATAAAAAACAAACAAAAAATATATTAATGTCAAATTCATTAAATGTGATGATCAGTGTTAAGATTTGGCTACTTTATGGTTATTTCGAACTAATTTCGAATGATTTTTTTGATTGTTTCTTTGGTTTTTGAATAAATTTTCATTTCAAGTTCATTTTGTGTTTTTTGTTGTTGTGTGATTCTAGTTTAGCAAAAAATACAAACCATAAAAGTGAATCGTATGATAAAACGAATGTATATTTTATGCAAATACTAAACCAGCTGGCTAGCCACAAAACTTTGTCGCCGCCGTTTTATCTTCTTCTACACCATCATCATAATCATCGAGATCATGGCTTACCTTGAATTGTACGCTGAGCATGTTGTGCCTCTTCCTGTGTCTTATATTTAATAAAGTAGACTTCCGGTTTGCTGGGTTGTTTGGGTTGAGCCTCCTGAATGGCAGCTTGCAAGTCCAAAGGATCAGCCTTCTTGGTCAACACATAAATGATGGTCTTCTCCTCAACTGGAGCTTGATTAATACGCACTGTGGCCTTGTTAGCATTTTGAGAGGGTGCCTTAATGAAGACAATGCGATAATGTTTACGGGGTGGCAATTGTGGCAAAGCCTGTTGTTGTTGTGATTCAGCACCACCATCTTCGGGAGCAACATGAACATATATGTCTTTGGTTACAGTCGAAGGTGATTGATACAATTGTTGGGGTTGTTGTTGTTGTTGGGGATAAGTTTGATATTGGATTGGAGCTTGTTGCTGGGCCACAACATTATTCACAAATGTTGGCTGTTGTTGTTGAATACCTGAAAATCCGAAGGTTTGTTGCTGTTGTTGCTGTCCGAATTGTGGTGCTGCAGAAAATTGTGGAGCAGCTGAGAATTGTGAAGTGGTGGAGAATTGTGTTTGTTGTTGTGTGCTTGCACTTTGTCCTCCCACCAAACTACTTTGTAATTGTGCCTTTTTGAGGGCTTCTTGCAAAATGGCACTGTGATCGATGTCACCTAAACTGCCGAATACTGGCTTTGTGTTGTATTTAATTGAACTTTGTTGGCTCTGTTGATAATTGTATCCTTGAGGTGCAGCCAAGGCTGTTGCACAAAGGCAAAGTACCTGTAAATAAGGAAAAAAAACACATATGTTAATAAATATGATAACATTACATACTGAAGAAAGGTGTTAACCGACAATTTTTAATATACATCATCGAATTGTGGTGTGTTAATCAGATATTATATAGCTCTTAATGGTGCACCAAATACCTAATGTTTGTCCGATTGGGGCAACATTTTCAAGAGGACACCCATGGTACAATAAATAATGCAATGTGGACAACTTGAGGTCTATAATAAAATATCAACTAGTTGTTGGCTTTATTTGACATGTCTATAAACGAGAAAATGTATGAAAGGTTATGATTTCTTCCAACATTCCAAAAATGAAACAAGCATATTCCCCAAGTTTGTTTAATCCATAAAAAAATTACTTCCACATTTACTTTACCACATTATATGATCACATTCGAACAGGTCCTTTGAATTAAATATAGATTTGGAAAAATATTACGGTTTACAAAGTTTGCAAATTAAGATATTCCATTATGATATGATATTGGATTAACACCTGTTGAACCTTTCGAAGAAGATACCGGAAGGAGTGGAGCAACTCATATTCAAGCTTGATGTATGCAAGGTAAATATTATCCATTATTTTTTTCGGCAGATGGCTGTACTGATAGATTTCTCGTAAAGTATCGATCAAACAATTTCAGATTTATACTCGTTGGAAGGGACTCGTCAGAAACTTCGGGAGCTTGGTTGGGAAGTTTTAATGCATCCGCCATACATTCGGGACTTGGCACTAAGCGATTATCATATTTTTCTTGCATTGCAAAATTTCTTTAATGATAAAAAATTGGTATCTAGGGAGGATTGTAAAAATCGACTACTAGATTTTTTTGCATTAGAGAGGCATTATGAAGTTGCCTTTAAAATGGCAACAAACCATACAACAAAACGGACATAATCGGACATTCCGAAGCATGTTAAATAAAGTCCTATAGTTCATTTAAAAATAATGGACTTCTTTTTCCCCAACCTTATATATTGCCATGGGCAAAGTTTAAATAAAATTGAATATTCCACTCGCTCCATATAATATTTACTACTTTTTAAAATTTTGAAGTAGTGAACACATAAGTACCACCTTCTTATATTATACAGACATGGTTGAAATATAAGGTTGTACAAAGTTTTGCTTAAATCGGATAGTTCGCTCGCGTGATGTTCTAAATTTATTTTTCTGAAAATTTTGTTTGGAGGTGCAATGGTAGGTCCCCTCTTCCAACATGAGTTAATTTTGAAAGAAATATTACGATGAGTATACTTGGCATTACATCGGATACTCCACACCATTGTTATTGGATTGACAGTCTGGGTTAGATACAAATATTAAGTTTGATATTCCGTTCGTATCATATACGATTTACAAACTCTGGCCCTTTCTGGCGTAGGTATTAGAATGAGTGGACCAATAAGTCCCATTTCCAAATAACATAGAGATATAGTTAAAATATTAAGTTACGCAAAGTTTGGTTGGGTCTTCTGATCCCATGATATTATAAAATGTATTATCAGCAAAATTTCGACCCTATTGTGGGGTGGTACCAGAAGGATTGGGCCGATTATTCCCACCTTCGAACAAATCGGTCATTACATTCCGGTCATTCCATAAACTATGTTCGGAAAAAAATATAACGATGTGCAAAGTTGGGATGAAATTGGATACTCGCTTCGAGAGTTATCGTGCACACCAGCCAGACAGAAGGACGGACGGAAGAATATTTGTAAATCGATTCTAAATTGTCTCAAACGGATTTGGTCCACAGAAACAAGGGATCTAAAACCAATATTTCGCATAGGCACATATTTTGCCGTATCAAGGAGCATATATCCCCATTTGCAACAATACTGAGGGTATAAAAACGTCCTATTTTAGGCTAAAGGTATACAAATGTATACATTTATAAAGCAAATTTTATTCACTGTGATTAGAAATGTTTTTATGATATGCACACTAGTTTAATCGCTTATTTTCATGCGAGTTCAGTGCACATTTTATTTCACGTCCACGTGCGAGGTGGCCAATTGAGGCCGCCTAGATCGACTGAGTTAAAAGCTCATGTCTATACAAACAATCCCGCTTTAATTGAGGCATTAGAAGACAACATTGAAACATTTATTCGTGAGATACCGGCCGGAAATGTTGTAAAAAGTATGGCAAAATTGGACTAACAGGATGGACCATTTAAAGCTGTGGCGCGGTGTACATTTTTATGAAATAGTCTTCAAACATTATATCTTTGGTTTTTGCTTTTATTTTTGAAAAATGTTCCTATCTATCTATATATATAAAAATGAATTGCTGTTCGTTAGTCTCGCTAAAACTCGAGAACGGCTGAACGGATTTTTCTTATCTTAGTCTTGAAATGTTCGTGGAGCTTCAGGGAAGGCTTAAAAGGTGAGAAGAAATCGAAAACCGTGAAAAATTTGCAAAAAATATTATGAAGCATATTTGCATTTCCACGAATTTAGTATCGAGCTATTTTGATTGGACCCCTTCATTTTTGTTATTTGAAGATATTTTGGGTGAAATTGGTAGCGCATCAAGCCTTTAAGCCATGATTTGTTAATTTTTGGAAATTTTCAAAATATGTACTATGTATTTTTTTCAATTGGATTGTCATTGCATTGTCATGAGTTGAGAATAAAAAAAAATAATTCAGAAGTATATCATTGAATGTACACGCGATCATTGTATGCACACGTTTTCCAAAGAATTCACGATTTTGTGGGGCAAATGCACAATTAAAAGTCAGAAGACATTCGGAATTGAGGTTGTGTCCATTCAGAAAATTTTAATTCTAACATCCATCCAGTCAACGTCTTTATAATACCGAAAATCTACTTGGAACTATATCAAAGCATGGACCTAATATCCCGTAATGACATATTTGCAACTACTATAATGTGAAATTTTCGTAAGGAGATTTGATACCACATGAGAAAATGCCGAACAAAGGGGAATACCATATATGGTGGCTGTCTGGACCAATATTGATAATTTTTGCTAAGAGAAGCTCCCCAAACATCCGAACGCATCGAATAATGTGGAGTATCATTGTATGGGGTCTATTCGGAAGCTTTCGTGAATATTGTTAGGTACATTTTCAACACAATAATCATCCAAAATATAAAATTACTGGGAAATACGGATTCAATTAGAAGGTAAAACCAGTAAGGAAGGAAGTAAAGTCAGACGGGCCCGATATATGATACCCTTCACGACTTTGGGTATATTCTACATATGTCTCCTTTTCGAAAGAACATTTGCATGAAATTGAAGGAACTTGAATATGTGGTCTTTATGTCTTTCTGGAACCTATGCTAAATTTCATTCGGGAAAGTTTAGAGTCGTTTGACTAATTTAAGTAAATCGATGTAGAGGAAACTTGATACACGCTTTTCGGTAGGCCGCACTCTTCAAAATTTAATCTCAATCAGACACCCGTTTGAAATATATATGGAAGCTGTGTCTGCATCTGCGCTAATTTCACCGACACGTAAATAATAATTCAAGAGTCAATTTTTGCAAAATTTCGTGTCGAGCTATATCAGTACATTGTAAAACTAATTGTGTGTCAATCGTACAAACTTTGGGTCTTTAGTGCACAATTGACCTGAAACCGGAATAAAATGTATATAGCAGCTATATATAAATCTTAACCGATTTTCACGAAACTTATAATTCTAGACTAAGTTCAGTACGCTATGACAAATTTCATGCAAATCGAAAAATATATAGAGGTTTTGGTGCATCATTTACATTAAATCGGACGAAACTATATATGGCAGATATTTCTAAATTTGAACCGATTTTCATTCTAAACAATATTGTTAAGGCAAGACAACGTTTGCCGGGCCCGCTAGTATCACATAAAAAATTCAACCACTATAAAGATTCCGCTTATTTTTTTGTATTTTGAAGATTTTTGCCGCGTTTCCATGCCGAAGTGATATAGGTCCATGTTTTAAAAGAGCCCCCATATAATTATTCCGCTACTTTTTCAGTAATTGGAAATACCCGGTTCCTGGCCAATAAAAAACTTCCGCACAATGTTTCTAACACATTGTTAGCGGACGATTATTAGTCTATTAGCCGACTAGTTACAAACATCGATTTAAAACATTTTTGAAGTTAAATTCTGTGTTTCTATACCTTATTGTTTATTTAACTTGTTTTTTTAATTTAAAAATACTAACTAACCACATTTTAATTATATTGGATTCTTACGAAAACAAAACTTGCATTTTAAATAATTGTACTTTCTAATTCAATATTATGTCATTCAAACCTGATCCAAATTTTGTTTTTTATGAAATTTAACATTTCAAATTTTTATTGTTTTATAATTTATTTCCAAGCTTCAATTCTATTGAATAATATTTGTGAAAGTAATATTCAGGTTCTTCTTTGGCTAATCATTATAAAAAGTGGATAAATAAAATCTGGCTAGCCTCAATATTTTGTCATGACTTCTTTCTAGCGCGATTTTTAATTATATAACTTTTTTAAAATATAATATTGCTGACATACGATTTTTTTTAATCAATCTATGCATTTTTACTTTTTGAACATGTCTGTATGAAAATCTCAATTACTAGAAAAAGTAGAGTAATTGCCTTTGCACGTTAAACAAGCGATATCCCTTTTGACGATGTTGAATATTTGTATTTTAATTTTTTTTCAGAAATAAATTTTTTGAATTGTATTATTTTATTTGGTTTCCTGCAGCTGTCCAATTATTCCACAAAAAATGTAACCGTGTGTGACGTGGTACACGTTCCACAAGTTTCCAGAAAATTCCACTTCATTAATTTGTATTGTTTATAACTGTTACATTCAAAAAAATTTTCGCCACTTTTCATTTTACAATATATTTTCAAAATTACTTTCTCTTATTATCGTATATTCACTAATAAAATGTAACATAATCCATATTACTTTTAATTTGCAACAGAAGACACATTTTTTTTAATTAACACTTACTATAAATGCACGCATTTTGTAAATTTTGAAAATGTTGGTTAAATTATTTAAATTTATTTGACTCCGATTTGAATCACTTCTTCGTCTTCTACGCGAACCACACACAACCACACTTTTGTTGGATATCTGTGTATCACGACTGACAATCAAAAAACAACTAAATGCTAATCAAAAATAGTACACAGCTTTATAAACAAAACCGAAATGCAGGCGAGCGGGCACTAACGTCTTCAGCGATCACTGCCGATCAGCGGCTAATACAAATGACCATAGCACCACAAATACGCACCTTTTGTTGCTGGTCAATAAATGAGTTGCTGATGATGAAGACGATGATGGCAAAGCAGAATCACATAATTAAGATGAAGCTACAGCGACCCTATAAAATGTATGATCATCATGAAGATGGAGATGAAGTTGTTGTGCTCCAAAAATAAGGCAACAAACAAAAATAGAGAGAGGTGGAACACACAAAATTACCAAAGTCATGCCCTCCCTAAAACTTTTAGTTAAACGAAAAACTGATCTTTTTTATCGATCTTGAAGAAGAGCATAATTCGACAAACGATGATGATAGTGAGCAAAGCAAATTGCTTGTTTGTTAAGGTTTTTTGGTGAGCGGTCTCATGATAAGATATGAAAATTTGTTGGAGACCTTGATGATACATATTGGCAAGATGTTACCAGATTATTAAAATGAAATAAATAATCGTACATAATAAAAGACTTTAGATATTCAATATATTTTTATAAAACCAGTAAGGAAAGAAGTAAAGTCGGACGAGCCGACTATATGATACCCTTTACCACTTTGGCTATATTCAAGAGATACATCCTAACATAGTGGACTACTTTAAATATATGATCTGTGTCTATAGGTAAACCGACTTCACCAAACGATTAATAACCGGGTACTTTAGTAAATTTGTATTAAATTTATTTTTCGTTTATAATTCATCGAAATAATCACTTCCAACCCTTAAAAATATTGAACATATTTTTGATCAGCGTAAAATTCTATGACGATTTAAGCATGTTCGTCTGTCTGTTTTCTAGCCTCTAAACGAATTGGGGCAGATTGCCAAAATTTTGCGTAGAGTTGTCTTTTGTCTGTAGGCAGGTCAAGATCGAAGATGAGCTATATCGGCCCACGCATAGGCATATAAGGGTACCCCCAATTTTGGGGTTCATAAATTTCGCTTAAATTTGGTACAATGGGTTCTTATTGGATGGGGTTCTTGAGCGTGCTTTTAAACGAAGTCTGTGAAATTTTTTTCTTTAGTACATCAATCCACACACATGTTCTTGGTTTGGAATGGGACAACATTATGTAAATCGATTTATATCAAACTATTCGTAATGCTACAACACAAAGCACTGTTTAAGATATAATCTCCAGTTCATTCATAATCATCAGTTTATTATTTAGTGCAACCTTTAATTCTTTGGTGCACAATTTGCTTAAAATCTGACGAAACTATATATATATATATATGCGACCTATGCCTAAATCTGAACCAATTTCAATAAAACCTGGCACACTTTAGACTATCCTAACTTCAGTACGTTGTGCAAAATGTTGTGCCAATCGGACTAAATGTGACTCTTTGGTGCCCCATTTGCTAAAGATCGGATGAAAAAATATGGGAGTTTTATCTAAATCTGAACCTATTTCAATAAAACTTGACATGTTAGGCAATTCTATCATCATTACGTTTTGCAATATTTTGTGCCAATTGGACTAAATTTAACTCTTTGGTGCATCATTTGCTATAAATCGGACAAAAATATATATGGGAGCTATATCTAAATCTGAACCAATTTTTCCCAATTCCAATAGGGTTCATCCCTGGCCCATATAAATGGGCTGTACCAAATTGCATCCAATTCGGATTATAAATGCGACCTGCACTTTGTTTACAATTTAAGGTGGACAGACGGACGGACAGACATGCATAAATCCACTCAGTAGGTAATTCTACGCATATTCTCAGATGGAACCATGAGTCTATCTCGTTTCCTTTTGCCTGTTACAAACATATGCACAAAGACATTACCATTTACCACAATATGGTAAAAATGTAAATAGTATGTTAAGGTCGGAAGTGTCCGAACTGTCGTTAATACCTTTCACCACAAGGTGAAGTTTTTACGATTTTACCAAAAATGTTAACAAATTATTAATTCAGTTTTTTTTTTAACAAAAATAGATACATCCCGACACCCCGGCATATCATAAAATCATATGTACCATGAAATCGAGTCTATGTGAAAGAAGAGGAGATGCTAAAAAAGTTTAAAATATGATCTAATATTTGTAACAAAGTACGGGTAGTATCAGCGTCTTGTATAGTGGCGATGTGTTTTTCGTGGGTCTTTTCCAGGATTTGGTTCGGAGTGAAAATGTGGTCAATGGTGAATTTGGCCAGCTTGAAGCTGCATTGATAGGGTCCAATAATGTCATTGACCAATGGTTTCAGTCGTTTACACAGTACGCTGAATAGCACGATTGGAAGGAGATTAGCTTTAATTGGCACATATCGTTTTGTCTTCTTTTTTGAGCACGGTTCACAGGATGCTGATGTTCCAATTATTGGGCATGCATTCCTCTAACCAAATTGTACTAATCACTTGGGGCATGCTATCGGCACCTGAATATTTTGATATTTTGACCTCTTCTTGGCTAGGTAGTATACAATCTATACGTCATATCTGATAGGTTCTGGGGTGTCTTCTTCACCGCCACTATTTGCTACCAAAAGCTTTGCAAAATGCTCCTTCCAGATCTCAGTACGCTATCTGCATCTGTCACCAAGTTTCCACCTTCATCTCTACAGGAGGATGTACCTGCATGTTTTACTCTTTGGTACAATTTCCGGATTTTGTTGTGACTCCTGTACATTTCGATTTGCTCCCGCTCATGTTTTTCTAATTCATTCTTCTTTTTTCTGAAAATACGTTTCTCCTCTCTCCTTTTCTCCAGATTATTCGCCCTCGCATTACGTGTTGCTACCGTCTACAGGGTTGCCCTATACGCTGCGTACCATTACGACACTCCTAATCGTATCACGGGTTTCTTGATGGTGGTATTTGGTACCCAAGTGTTGCTTTTGCTGTGGTTTGTAGGGAGTGGACAGTTCTTTGCCATTGTGCTTCTATATTATTAACGGAACAGGGAGAATTTGCATTTTTTCGACGTCGAGTTTCCGCCTTATAGTTTAAAATAATATATTGTTTGCAAAATTAGGCTAAATGCATCAAAATATGGACTATGTCAAATTATTTATCTATTCATATTTAATCCTCTACGAATTCGGATTGCCAAATTATTGCCTATTCAAAAACGAATTTCTAAAACGTTCTAAATACCTAAAATTTGGCTGATATGAGGGCTATGTCGAAACATGAACCTGTACTAATAATTTTCAGCAAATATATTATTCAAATTGCCAAACATGAACCTATAAAACCATGAAAATTTTTGCAAAGAACCCAGAATGTCGAATTAAAGCCAGTTATTTGAAAAATGCGTTAATTAACAACGAAATACATAAATGTGGATATATATTGATTCTAGGTCTAAACATGGACCCATATTGACCGTTTTCTGCAAGGATATTTTTCAAATAGTGCACATGATGCTACACTCTTTTATGGAGGTTATTGCAATGCATGGGACTATATAGAGTCTCCGATGAAAATGACAGGGTGTTGCAAACTGAATGAAAAATTTAACATACACTCCACCTATGTCAATGATGAAGGGCACGCAAATTCGCAGTACAACAATCATTACTTGGTTGAATTTTTATATCTCTTTTACGTAAGTAAAACTCTCTGATTATGTAAATTAATTTTAAAGATTACATTCAGGCAATACATTCAATCACTTCAGGCAACATACGATTCGACTACCAACGACTACTACAATGCTAACCACACTCACTCGCATGTCGGCGGCATTGTGTTGCATGTTTGGGCGCCACATTAAACGTAGCGGCATTTAAACTTGTTCTGTTAATTGCTTTTTCCGGAACATCAAAAGCTCAGCTTGATCTCGAGAAGACAAAATAATAAGCAACACATAAATGTTGGGTCAAATTAATGGGAACAGTGGGATATTTTTAAAGATGTGTTGAATACATTATAAATAATTTTAATGAAGAAAGTCTTTAACAAGGGAGGTGATTAAAAGGTACTCTAATGTATACGTAAATGGCAAATCATTTTGTAAATATTTGGATAGTCATTTTTTAATCAGACTTTGTTACATAAATATATATTTTCATAGCTGTTTATGTATTTTTTAAACACAACCCAATGTGCGATTTTCTTACCCATTGCGATAGGTCAGTATTATTATTGTTATTTTTTATCATCGAAGATTAATGTTATATTTACATAACTGATTTATGATCTGAATTTAAATTGATATTTAAAAAATGTGTGTTGAACATGAAGGGATACATTGTACATATATTTAATTGATTTCAATCAATTACTAACATGAGGTATGCGTTTTAAGTATTATAATTCGTATGTATAAATCAATATGGTATGCAATTTTATGTTCACGTGGCATATTTTTTATATGAAAAAAATACATAATTTATATATTGAAATCAATTAAGGGAGCTAATCAAAATACACTGTACATTACAAACTTAATCTACTTACAAACTTGATCTAATCGATAGATCAAAATTTAGAGCTTCAAAAACTTTTTGGAAATTACTGGAAATTATTAGAAACAAACCAGTAAAGAAAGTAATAAAGTCGGACTGTGCCGACTATGTGATACCCTTCACCACTTTGGGTATATTCTACATATGTATCCGAAAAGACGTCGCCTTTTTTAAGGAATTTTGACATGAAATTGAACGAAATTAAATATGTGATTTTTATATCTTTCTGGAAACTATAAATTTCATCTCAGTTGGGCAAGTTTAAAGTCGTTTGCGCACAGTGGAACAGATTTGTGTTAATCGATTTAAAGCAAACTTGACACACGCTATTCGGTA